GAACCTATCACACCCAGTCAGGACATTGGTTTAGGCAAGGACTTCTTGAGTAATACCCCCAAAGCACAGGCAATCAAAGCAAAATTGGCAAACAGAACATATCAAGCTAAAAGCTTCTGCACTGCAAAGGAAACAATCAATGAAGAGAAGAGACAATCCCACAGAATGGGAGAAAATATCTGCAAACTACCCACTTGACATGGGACAAATAACTAGAATATATAAGGAGCTCCAACATTGCAGGAGAAAAAATCAAATAATGCAATTTAAAATGGGCAAAGGATCTGAATAGACATTTCTCAAAAGAAGACATACAAATAGTCAACAGGTATATGAAAAAAACGTTCAACATTATTAGTCATCAGAGAAATGCAAATCAAAAATACAATGCCATATCATCTCACAGCAGTTAAAATAGCTTTTATCAAAAAGGTAGGCAATAATGAATGATGATGAGGATATGAAGAAAGGGAAACCCTAGTACACTCTTGGTGGGAATGTAAATTAGTGCAACCACTGTGGAAAACAGTATGGAAGTTCCTCCAAAAACTAAAAGGTAGTTTATGACTAAAACTACCTTTCAGTCATAAGGTAATCAGAGAACTACCTTATGACTCAGCAATCCCACTGCTGGCTATATATACAAAGGAGAGGAATTCAGTATATCGAAAAGAAATCCACACCCCATGTTTATTGCAGCACTATTCACAATAGCCAAGATTTAGAATCAACCTAAGTGTCCATCAACAGAAGAATGGATAAAGAAATTATGGTACAGGCCAGGCACGGTGGCTCACACCTATAATCCTAGCACTCTGGGAGGCTGAGGCAGGAGAATTGCTTGAGTTCAGGAGTTTGAGAATAGCCTAAGCAAGAGTGAGATCCTGTCTCTACCAAAATGAAAGACAAAAAAAAAAAAACAGCTGGTCACTGCAGCTCACGCCTGGAGTCCCAGCTACCTGGGAGGCTGAGGCAGCAGGATTACTTAGAGCCTAGGAGTTCAAGGTTGCAGTGAGCTACAATGATGTCACTGCACTCTACCCAGGGTGACAGAGGAAACTCTGTTTCAACAACAACAATAAAAAAACAAGGCAACGGAACACCCTTCCCCACAAGCCCCAACCCATCATAAAAAAAGGAAAAAATGTTAAAAAAAAAAAAAAAAGAAGAAGAAGAAGAAGAAGAAAGAAATCATGGCACATATACACAGTGGAATACCACATAACCAGAAAAAAGGATTTGCAGCAACTTGGATGGAACTGGAGAACATTATGTTAAGTGAAATAAGCCAAGCACAGAAAGACAAATCTCTCAAGTTCTCATTCATATATAAGAGGTTCATATTAAAAACAATTCATCTCATGGAGTCAGAGAATAGAATGATGGTTACCAGAGGCTGGTAATGGCAGCAGGGAGGGGAAATAAAGTAGGGTTGGCTAATGGGCACAAAAATATAGTTAGATAATTAGATAGAATAAACAATATTTGATAGCACAACAAAGTGACCAGAATCAATAATAAGTTGGGGTATACTTTAAAATAACTAAAAGAGTGGAATGGGAATGTTCCTAACACTAAGAAATGAAAAACTCCTGAGGTGATGGATATCCCAACTGCCCTGATTTGATTAATTCACATTGTATGCCTGTATCAAAACATCACATGCACCCTATAGACAACTTTATGTATAATTACCCATATTTAAAAAAATAAAAACTAGAGTCTAAGAAATTCATCATTCTCAATCTTATCTCCTGCCTAAAATTTGTTTAAGCTCCCTAAGCCAATGACCACCTGGGAAAACAGAAAGGAATTCTGGGAATTCTGGAAAGGGCATAAACTTATGTGGAGCAGAAGGAATAACTTGCTGCGTGTCACTCTGGAACAGACCTTAAGCAGCCGGGACAGGCAACAAGTCTGAGTGTGGCGGGAGATCATTCCCAGTGTGACCCCACACCTGCCCCCTCCCGTGCACCCAACTCACAGTGAGAATAGGCCACATGCTGGCTCTCCGACACAGCCTCTGGAACGTCTTTTAGGTGATTCCTGAAAGAGTAACAAAAGGGCACCATGGTCATCTACCTTATTGTCCAGGTGCAGCATAAAGGACACCCAAAATTCCCTTTGCAAAGCAATCTATTTCTTGGAATAAGAAAACCAAACACCTTTTTCTCAAAGCTGCTGTCCTTCCGCCATCCTCCTGCCTCTAGGACACCGTCCCTACCTGTGCGATGGCTCTCCGAGCTGCAATTTCACATTTACCCCTCTTCACCATAGCACAGCTAGCCCTGTTTACTTTGATCTGACGGATCCCCAGCCATTGCTCCTGCCTGGCAGGGTTCAAGCAAGTCCTGAGATTCGCACAGGACGTCAGACACACATTCCAGCATACGGGTATGTTCGACCCACCAGCAACCCTGTGAGGGCAATATTATTATACTTTTCTAATTTCGAAGATTAGAAAAGTGGGTCTCAGGGAGGTAAACTGATTTATCCCAGAGCAAACAACCGGGGAAGAAAGACAGAGGGAAGACGCAGGACCTCTCAGCCACAGTCCTAAATTCTGTGTAGTAGACCGTGCTCCTATCGTTTTGAGTCTAGATTCTGTTATCTCACATACCGGCTTGCTCTTTAGGCCTTTTGTTAGCTGAAAAAGTTATAATTACATCTTATCCAGCATCAAGATATTTGAATATTGAACAGGACGGGTGACATATAATTACAAACATCTGTCCATTCATCCAAAGTCTCATCAGAGCCTTTAAGGTAATATTGAAAAGATTTAAAATTCAGGCAATACAGTTGAACACTTCAAAGGTAATCATATTTGTACACTAGGCCTTGTCAATAGAAAAGACAATGATACGAACCATTATCTTTTGTTTTGTCCTGTGATGGAAAAGAAAGACTCAGAGATGGCAAGTCAAGTCACTGGGCCAAAGTGGCAGAGTTATCACTCACACACACCCCCAAAGTCTCCAGCTTCTTTCCTCCCCCAAGAAATGTGGACCTCCCTCCATTCCTCACCTTTCCTAGGCTAAGTGTAGTTTTAAAAAAACTTATTAGGACTATACTACTTATAAGTAATTAGGAGAAGGGCAGAGTTGATTATGATAAATCTAAATCAGTTAATTATTTTTTAAATTGGACTGTGCTGCTTTCAAAACAGAGCCAACAAAACACTGCTCGTTAAAGGTTCTCCTGGATCCCATAGTATAAACAGATAATTATGATTTGGTTGAAGTTTGTTGATTTTGTTGAATATGTTTTTCTATTAGATGGATTTTTTGAGACAATTATAGACTCACATGCAGCTGTAAGAAATAATACAGAGAGAGTCCTTGTAGCTTTTACCCAGTTTTCCCCAATGGGAATAACTTTCAAAACTATAGTATCACAACCAGAATATTTACGTGGACACAGCCAAGATACTGATCATTTCCATCACCATAAGGGTCCCTCCTGTTGCCCTTTTATAGCCAAGCCCACTGTCTCCTCCCCCTTGCCCTGTCTTGTTGAATATTGAAATGCACATTGAAAGCATATTTTCCATCAAAGATAACATGCTACTTGTCTAGTTCCTTTCAAGATGATCATAAATCTCACATTTGCATAAGTCAATCCATAAGATTTTACTGGAATTTCTCTACTCACCTTTCCTTGGCATCCAAGAAGGCTTTGGCAAAAGGGTTGTACTTGATTTTGAGAGCCGTTATCTTGCATTTACAAAGACAAGAAGTGTTAGTGAAACCAGGACACATGGGCAGACAGAACTCTTTGTCTTCCCCTGTGAATTTATATAAAACCAGGAAAATTCCCTCTGGGTTTTTTTTCCCCCTCCTCTCCATGGTTCTTTGCTGACTCCTACACTAAAACACTGTCGCACTGTCTCCAACAAAAAACATTTTATTGTGGCATGTGGTGAAACACTAGATGCCGCGTAAAGTGAGAAAAAGAAAGGGCAAAGCATTAGAAATGAGCAAAGCCCTCTGTGCTGAATCTAGCATTCATTGCTTTATTCATTTATTCATTTTCTTCAACATTCATGGAGCCCCTGGCACATGTTGCCTTTCTAGTCACTTGGAGCACTGTGGAGAGGAGCACAGGAGTGACCCCGCCTCTCCTGGAGAGTGTGGTCTATAGTCGATTCCCTCACTCTTAAGCAATCACTTGCCCATTGGGCAGTGTCTATGCAAACACAAACTATCGCCCACATCCCCTATCCCCTCGCCACCCCCTTTAGTCAGAGCCATCTGACTAAGATGATGTCAGAGAACGTCAGAGGCAGAGATAGAGAAATATTTGGTTTTCTCTCTCCCCCCCGGGATGTAAGGGCCTTGAGGACAGGGTACTCATCTGCTGTACCTATTTGTTGCTGGGACTATTCGTTGCAGTAGTCTCAGCATCTAGAACAATACCCAGCCCAACATTTGTTGTCATGCCCAACAAATATTTGAGGCTGGAACAAACATTAAGAAGAGTGTTTATGTCAGCAAAGGCCTGAGACTTGGCTGTTCTCTGGTGGAAGGAAGAAAAGCAAAATAAAAACCCAACTCTTTCTGCCCCAGAGCTTGTGGGAGGAAATAGGAAAAAGAGGGAGGAGAGGTTTGGGGTCCAATAGGTATGACCTGGCCCTTCTCTTGGCTTAAACCTGGAGAGGTTGAGCTGGGGGGGAGGTTTGGGCCTCCCCCCTCCGAGCCACCTGCCGGCCTCTCAGGGTGCATCTGGTCGAGTTGGCAGGGAAACATGGCTGGCAGAGGGAGGCTCTGGGGCTTGATTTTCCAGAGCTTGATTGCCACGGGGCATGTTTAAGACCCAGACACAGCCAGCCGAGTCAGGACGGGGAGCCTGCTGGAGGGGTTGCCATGGCCAGTCAGGCAGCTCAGAGAGAAGGTCCAGCACCTGTGGGGAGGGGAAGCTCCTGACTGTTCGCCAAGCCAGCAGCCAAGTGGCAAGTTCAGCCGCCACCGACCGAGAGTGCCAGCAGCAGGCAAGCGGGCAGGGGCCTTGCCTGGAGGCCAGAGGAGGCTAGGACGTGGTCTCTAGACCTCCCCAACTCCCAGCGTCACAGAGACCCCTCACACACTGAGACTGCAGCCCAGGAGGGAATGCTGGGAGGGAAGGGGGAGGACTGTCTGAGAAACAGAGTGACGTTGTCCTACAAAGACTGGCCACCGCTGGCCACCAGCTGCAGGACTGTTCATCAGAGAGCTCGTTTCTGTCCCATTGGCAAGCTGCAAGAGCTCTGCCAAGAGGTCAACTTACTTATAGAAAAGAAATTACATTTTCTCTCTACATCTGTGATGTGAGTTAAAGCTGCAACTTAATTTCACCTGTAGACACTTAAGGCAGTAGTTTCCAAACCCAGATGACCCCTAGATTCCTCTAGGGAGACTCTTAAAACTACAGGCTCTGGGCACCGTCCTTGGAGAGTCTGACTCATTTGGCTGGGTGGCAGCCCAAACTCTGTCTTTTCAATCTTCCAAGTAAAGAAACACAGATGAAAGCAACAATAAGGATATCCTTTTAACCTATGAGTTGTCAAAGATGGAAAAGACTGATAACAGCCATTGTGGATAATGGTGTGGGAGACGCCCTTTTGGGGGAGGCAATTTGGCAATGTCTATCAAAATAATACACATACACTTCCCTTGACAGGACAATTCCATTTCTTTGTATTCATCTGTGCAAGTAAATAATGATAGATAGCACCAGGATATTCATTGCAGCATTATTTCTAATAGAAAATAAAACAACTAGAAACAACCTAAATGCCCATTGGTGGGGGGCTGATTGCATGAAATATGGTATAACCATACAATCGAATATTCTGCAGCGTGACAGAAAAAGAGATATGCCTGGATTCATTTACATAGAAAGATATCCATCATACACTGTTAAATTGGGGAAAAATAAATTTGCAGATTAATAATCTTTATTAATAATGTATATAACGAGCCATTTATGTAAGGAAATCTCCATTCACATATACATTTATTTATGCATAGCAAATGTGTGGAAAAAAAAAACCCACTCTAAGCTATTATTTGTAGTGTCCACAGAAAGTGAGATTCCAAAGGCAAAAGAAAAATGTCAACCTTTTAGTTTTCATTTTTACTTTACATACCTCTGTACTATTGTTTACTATGTGTTTTTTAAATAAATACATATTACCTTTCAAACGTTTTTAAAGTTTAATCAAAAAGAATCCAGTCTTCTCTGGGTGCTGCCGGCAAACAGCAGGCCAGGGCACCCCTGGGGTACGAGACAGACCCAAAGCAGTTCAGAGAGGCCAGATGCTGACTGCTCAGCTCTTGCAGTCAGAGTGGCTCAACTTACTGGGCAGGGAAAGACCTACCCGTGCTCAGATATTAAACATTAGCAAGCAGGACAGATAGCATAATGAAACCCAAAGGAGACGGCACCTTGGATCACTTCCCACAGACCTGCTTCTAGAGCAGGGGAGTGTAGACCCCACAGCCCCTGCCCTGTCGTGCCCACTGCAGACACTCCCAGCTCTGTGCAGGCCAGGGGCGCATCAGGGCCCCAAAACAAAGACTTCTGAGTTTCAACAGAACTCAAGAGTTTTATAAGAATGCACAACTGTGCCCTCTTGACACCAGAAAAGGGCACACTCTTGGAAACGGGCAAGAGGAGGTGTAGAGCAGCTACCCCATTGTTTACTGTCATCTCTGCTGAGTGTATCTGAATCCTGGAAAACCTTTCATCTCATAGGACCCCCGACCCACCCTGCCACACTCTCCCAGGTGACATTCTCACACACACACACACACACACACACACACACACACACAACTTACCTCCTCATTCTGATAGGCAGTCACAGCTATGAACTGGGTCTCAGGGAAGGAGCAGTTCATCACCATGCGGTGGGCACCTCCAACACGCACTATGTGAACCTGGGGTTCGTACTTATGCAGAGAATTCAACATTATCTGTTGAGGTGGGAGAGGAAGAGAGAGAAGAGAAAGCGAAGCCCGGTGTTTCGCAGGTGATAGTGGAGCCAGCGCCTTTGGTTATTCCCAAGCTCAGCGCTCACCCGGGTTAGGGACACACATGCCAAACCCCAGGTCACCGGCACTGCCACTGCACGTCTGAGAATGAGTGGGGAGGGGGTTCAGAAGCTCCCAGGCGCGTAACACGGAAGCCCCCGCAGGACGGAGGGGTAGGCCGCCAGAGAGGAATCGGGTTCAGAGTGCTCAGTTTCCTGCCCAAATCCTGGCTTCCTTGGTTTCCCTTCCCCTATTTTCAGCACAATACTGTGCATTTCAACCCATTAAATAACACTGTTTGGGGGTTTTTTTATATATATATGAGGACCCTAATAACTCAAAATACTGACCATGGCTGCATTTTACACGTGACTACGGAGTCATGAAATCATCTGATGGTCACAGATAATCCACTCTTTATGATTCAAACGAAAGGTTTATGGAAAGTCTCGAGTTGTGAAATCCGGTAGGCAATAACAATTTACTTTTCAATTCCCTGTTTCAATAAAGAACTAGAGCCTTCTGAGTAACGCGGAGACTGGGTGGCATCACCCCCACCTCCTAAAACCTGACTCCCAGGTCCCGGCCAGCCACGCACGGAGAGAGCCACACGTGCAGGCTGGGACGAGAGTCCAGACCCTCCCTCCCAGCCGCACGTCTGTTCCCCAGGAGCAGTCTGCGGTCTATAAAGTCACTGACAGCCTTGCACAGCGGGCTAGAATTCACAATCCTACCACAGAAAACGAGCGGAAAGCGCCCAAAATCTTGTTTACTCTAATTGTAGGCCTTAAATAAAACCTTCCTTATTTCAGGTTTGTTTGGATTATTATTTTTTTTTTTCTGAAAAACCAAAGCTGCCTCAATATTCTATTGATAATTATCATAATGCCCAAGCCGGGGTAGTAATTATTTCATTTAGGAGCAGCTTTTTATGAAGGTATTTGTCTATTGCCAAAATGCCACTTACACCAAAAAGAGGGGAGAGAGGGAATAACAAAACCCTGGTACCTCGGAACATCTTCCTCCAGGGCTGGGTAAAAGCCCTGCACACAAGACCCAACTATGAAAAGGGCCCTGATGATTAAGTAAACCACCGGCTCTCTCACTCTCTCCACAGCAGGAAGTCCATTAAAAACTGAAAGCAGCAATTAAGAGCTGTTTATTCCTGTTTACATTTGGACTCCAGGGAATAATTGGCTTCTGTGGGAGAAGAGGCTGGTGAGGACACCTCTAATTGCCTAAATGCACCCTTGATATTTCTTGATTGGTGTTGCGGGGAGGCCAGGGTGGGCGGCCAGGCGACCTGCGCGTACCTGCCCACCTCCGTTGAGCTTGTTGGTCAGCTTCACCTTGCTGAAGGAGATGGGGGCTTTCATCCAGTGGGCCCCGAAGTTGGGGGAGTCGGGGTGGATGTAGACGCAGCTGTGGCTGGAGACCTCCGGCTTGCCCGCGGGCACCCACTCGCCGTTGACGTACTTCCAGCGGTGGCTGTCCATGGGGACAAAGTCCAGCAGGAGGGAGTACATGGCATTGGGGTCCAGCCCGGAGACACTAATCTTCAGAACAGGGAACATCCGTCTGAAAGAAAAGACAAGGCAGAAGCTCAGCCACGGGAGGGACGTTAGACGACCTCCCGCCTTGTCCAGAGGTCTCTCAGCCGGAAGGAGACCGTCCATGGGATCCCTCGGAGGGAGGCCAGACAAACGGGGCCCACGTCCCCAACTCCAACCCACCAGAGCCTCTTCTTATAAACGCATCTGATGTTGGGGATTTACTTTAAAACATCTTCCGTTTTAAAGTCTGAAAACCACTGATGTAATGATTGGACAAAGGAGGAACCGGAAGCTTGAAGTGTATTATCGGTCAGATGCCCCGGCCTTACAGAGCTTTTTCTTCAAAGATTTCCCACCAGGGCTCTAACGCTACCAACCCCGCCCTTCCCAGTCTCACCGAGAACACCATTCCTGACAGTCGTGGCATTTATAGCAAAAAGCGAGGTTATGTGGTAAAATAAGTGAGGGAACTCTTGGCCATACAGTTAGACGAGTTCTTTTCCTCTAGGACATCTCAGAAGCTCTAACATATAATGAACGCCAAGAACCTTCGAGAAAAAAATGTGGACCTGTGCACGCCCTAAACTTATGTGACAGTGGAACTATCTTTTAACTGAGCATTTTGTGGGAATCTGTGTCCAAGGCACACATTTTTGAGATGTGCAGCTCTGGCTTTATCGATCCTTCTTCCACCCTTTAGAACAATACCCACGAGTTTACTCTCACAAATATTTGCATCTGATTCTAGAATATTTTCATCACCCCCTCCCCCCCCAACCCCAAAAAACTCATAGCCGTTAGCAGTCACTCTCCATTCTGCCTAGATTTCTTGTCTCCAGAAAGAAAAGCAGAGGGAAGAGGTTCCCACCAGCCAGGCAGGAGGGAGGCAGAGTTCCTGTCCCTTGTGCTTCCGATGTCCAGAGTCACTGCCTAAGGTAAGATCTGGAGCGGACGCAGGGCTGGGCAGCGGAGGGCTTGCATATGACGCAAGACAGCCAACACCAGCAGGGCGTGTAGCAGGCGCAAAGCCCTGGAACAAGCACTTTCCATGAATTAACTCGCTGAGTTCATGCAACAACTTTATGAGGGTGTCTTGGAGAGAAAGTGAACTTAAATAGGAGGCTAGGACAAGAATATGAATTAAATGAAACTTCTAGGGGGGGAAACTGCATCAGAGAATGCATCCGAAATCCAGATCTTGGCTGAGCGGTCCCCTCCCTTCATGAGACGACTGTACTTTCATGTTAGCTCAAATGATGAGCGGCCTCTAGAGGGCTGGCTGCCTGTGTGGTGTAAAACCCTCCTGCTTTAATAGAAGGATTTTTTTTTCTCTATTATTTTCTCTTGATATCAGATTAAGCTATTCCCTTTTACAATATATTTTAAGGTTTTCAACTATTTCAATAGTATCAGCCAATTGTAGAGAACAGAAGGCCTCTGAAAGCACAAACGTCATTTGCAAAAAAATCCTAAGAGTGGGCATCAGAAATGACTTCAGGGATCACAGAGAGTCACTTGACAGCCAGGGGTCTGGCTCATTTACCTGCGGCAAGCGGACAAATGGCCCCTGTGTGCTGGTCTAGTGCTTTTCCTGAAGTGCTAACGTTTATTTTACTTTATTTTTTATTTTAAAGAAAATACAAAAGTGACATGCGTATAATTGTCATTTTGCACACTAAAGTTTAAAAGTACCAAAAGTTTTCTCAGCAAGATGATGTAGTACATGTAAAAGCAAAAAAAAAAAAAATTAAAAATTAAAAAATAAAAAAGCTCATAAAGCATATGCTCCGAATGAACTAACCTGCCGGGGTAATGTCGCAACTACTCAAGCATGACAGCAAGATGTGAAACGTGAGGAAGTTTCAAGTAATTCTGACATGATTTAAGAGATGATTTAGGCCAGGCGTGGCAGCTCAGGCCTGTAATGCTAGCACTCTGGGAGGCCGAGGCGGGAGCATCGCTTGAGGTCAGGAGTTTGAGACCAGCCTGAGCAAGCGTGAGATCCCGACTCTACTAAAAATAGAAAAAAATAGCCCAGCAACCAAAAATAGAAACAAAAAATTAGCCGGGCATGGTGGCGCATGCCTGTAGTCCCAGCTACTCGGGAGGCTGAGGCAGGAGGCTCACTGGAGCCCAGGAGTTTGAGGTTGCTGTGAACTAGGCTGATGCCACAGCACTCTAGCCAAAGCAACAGAGCAAAACTCTGTCTCAAAAAAAGGAGAGGGGGAAAAAGAGACATGATTTAATGCAAGATAATTTTTCTAATGGTAACAGTTGTCATGTACAGTTGGGCCTCTGTTTCTGCAGCTTCTGCATCAGTAGACTCAACCAAATGCAGATTTAAAAGATTTGAAGAAAATACAATAAAAATAAAACAATATAGTATAATAACTATACAGCATTTATATGTATAATGGCTTTTTTATTTCATGCCATATTCAGAGCTACGCATGATGTTTTAAAGAAACCACGATCACAAGAATAGATGCTTAACATGATCAGCTAACAGAGAAACTCAAAACCAAACTGCAGTGAGCCGCCACTTCACACCCAGGAGGGTGGCTGTAGTGTAAAACGCAGACAACAACAAGTGTCAGCAAGGATGTAGAGAAACTGGAACCCCGTACATTGCTGGTGGGAATGAGGTAAAAGAGTGTGGTTATTTTGGAAAACAATCTGGAGGTTCCTCAGCTGGTTAAATGCGGAGTTACTATATAAGCCAGCGATTCCACTCCTAGGCACAACCACAAGAAAAATGACAACAGTTCCACACAAAAATTTGTACACAGCTCTTTACAAACAGTATTATTCTTTTTTTTTTTTTTTTTTTTGAGTGCCCAGGCTACAGTGAGTGCCGTGGCGTCAGCCTAGCTCACAGCAACCTCAAACTCCTGGGCTCAAGCAATCCTCATGCCTCAGCCTCCCAAGTAGCTGGGACTACAGGCATGTGCCACCATGCCCGGCTAATTTTTCCTATATATATTAGTTGGCCAATTAATTTCTTTCTCGCTCTTGCTCAGGCTGGTTTTGAACTCCTGACCTCCAGCGATCCGCCCACCTCGGCCTCCCAGAGTGCTAAGATTATAGGGGTGAGCCACCGCGCCCGGCCTCAAATAGCATTATTCTTAATAGCCAAAACATAGAACACCCAAATGTCCATCAACTGGATGAATGGATAAACAAAATGTGTGATATCCATATAATCAAGTAGTGTTTAGTGATAAAAAGGAAGGAAGTACTGATACATGCTACAACACAGATGAACCTTGGAAACATTATGCTAAGTGAAAGAAGTCATTCACAAAAGACCACATACTATAGGATTCTATAGGTATGAAATATCCAGACTAGATAAAGCCACACAGACAAATAGTCGATTAGTGATTGTCAGAAGCTGAGGAGGTAATGGCTAAAGGGCACAGGGTTTCTTTCTGAAGTAATAAAAATGTTCTAAAATTAATTGTGGAGATGGATGCAGGACTCTGAGTATACCAAAAACCACTGAACTGTACACTTCAAATAGATGAATTGTATGCTGGATGAATTATATCACAATAAATCTGTAAATAAAAATAACTAAAGGGCATGATTTCATTCTTTGTTATGGCTGAGTAGTATTCCATTGTGTCTTAAGTGACACAAGCCAGACACCAAAAGACAAATATCACATGTTCTCACTCCTAAGTAAGGGCTAAAAAGTGTGTCCACGTGGCTGTAGAGGGTGGGATGACAGACAACGGAGACTGGGAAGGGTGAGGGGGTGAGAGAGGGTGGATGATGAGAAATTACTTACTGGGTACAACGTACGTTATTCGGCTGATGGCCACCCTAACAGCCCTGACTAGAACACTATGCAATCTACACATGTAACTAAATTGCACTTACACCCCATACATTTATATAATCTTAATAATTTTTTTAAGAAGCTTTCCCCACACTTATTACATTGATAGGGTCTCTCCCCAGTGTGATTTCGCTGATGTTCTGTAAGACTTGTCCTTTGAATGAAGACTTTTTCACATAAAACAACAACCAATAAAGACACCATGGAGTTCCATCTCTTAGGAGAAGGACATATCTGAAAAATGGTAGAATGATTAATCACTTTATTTTCTTTATTATTTCATTTGCCAAGATCTTTGCAACTATTTCCGGGTTTTCTCACTACACAAATGAACTAAGAAGTACCATGTACTTTCTAATCTCTTTGAGGACCTAAGAAATATGTAAATCAGTCCTTAATTCACAGCGTAACTTCCCTTAATCCACTCTTGAGAAAAAGTCTCTTCAAAGAGAGAGTAAGAGAGAGAGAGGGGGAGAAACTGCAGAAAATGTGGCAGTGTAAATAAGCACTTGCGAAAAACCGTGTTGAAGAAGCACAGGTGATTGGGCTTTGCCTGCAAACTCGTTTCGCTTTTGCTCTGAGGCTGGCTTTCCAGCTTTCGTTTCACCGTCAGGGACTCTTCAGAGCCAGCACTGCTGGAGGAGGCAATGAGATGGGATTTTGCAGGAAGAAAAGGGGCAGAAACGCGGCAGGCTTTGCAGGCGGGAGAACAGCAGGGACGTCTAAAAGCAAAATTCAAGACGTTTCACTTGTAAACACCTTCCTTCATCTCCCCTCAATACTATACTCATCAAGAACTCATCACAGCTTTCAGAGGTCTGTGTGTGTGTGTGTGTGTGTGTGTGTGTGTGTGTGTGTGTGTGGCACCCATCCTGCATGGAGGGGTGACATTTTCATGAAGGTCAGCAGGCATGAGAATAGCAGAAGGTGTCAATTAAAAATAAATAAATGAAGAAAAAAGAAGAATAGCATCAGAGAAGTAAGGCGATCTGGTGAGAGGCAGAACACACAAATGCATATGATGCTCTTAAGTTGTAATTGTACAGTTTAGAGAAAGTCCACGGGCTACAGGGACACGGAAATGTATTCACCTGATGTGCAACCTTAATTGTCTCCTTTTGCACCGCCTTCACTGGAAACTACAAACTTCAGCTCAAAGTCACTGCAACAATACCTTTTAATCATGAACAAATTCAAACTTAGTGATTCCCAACTCTTATTTTATGATGACAAGTGAATGCACAGTTATATCAGAAAAATGCTCCCAATTTCTTAAAATCTGCTCAAGGTGAATTTAATCAGAATTAAGTCAAAATCACTTAACTGTACAGAAATACACATGAAATATTACAATTTCTCCTTAGGTGAAGATGTTACAGGCAAAGCAAACAAGATATGTAATTTTATTTGCCTCTGAAGTCGGAAATGAATTTTTTCTGCAACAAAAAGTTATAAGTTCCTAGCTCAAAGAATGGAGATGAAAGGAAACACAGGCTGGATGCAGGAGAATGATCCCAGTGAGCTCTAGGAGGTATGATAACTGTTATTGTTACATCCGAATGACTACTGAACATGAATGACTAAAAGTTTTAAATAGAACAAAGAAGAGTAGAAAGAAAAGAAAAGAAGGAAAGGGGAAGGAAGAAGTAGTAAAATTGGCAGGGGAAGAAATGGAGGAAAGTAGAAAGACAGGGAGGAAGGAAGGAAGCGAGGGAGGGAGGGAGAGAGGAAGAAAGGAAGGGAGGGAGGGAGGGACAGAGGAAGGAAAGTAGGCTGGCCACCATCAGGGTCCCAGTTTCCGGATAATTCTGTGGTTTTCAGGGAAAATCCTCTCTCTTTACTATTTCCGATCAGTGTCAGAGGCAAGCCTCCTATTTATATATATGAAAGTTGGTCTCCATCAGATAATGAGTCTTAATTCTTTCATCAGCCCATCCTATCCTATTTCAAAACTTGCTATTACACAGAACAATGAGACCTCAAGTAGACAGAAGTGATCTAAACAAGGCTAATTGAGCCTTTTTTTAAAAAGTCAGGAAGTCAACCGCCTACGGGTGAAAAGGGCTAGGGCGGGTATTACATACCAGGAACATTCTTTTCCACAGAAAAGGGCTACAGATCTACCTGGGCAGGGGTTTGGAGGAGACACCTCGAGTCTACAGACATAGGGAAATGGATAGAAAGGAGACACAGAGGAATAAATAGTTAGGGGGAAAAGAGAGGAGGAAGAAAGGAATAAAGAAGAAGGCGAAGCAAGAAAGATATGTCTATGTCAGGAATGGTAAAGTGCTACGAACAGTTTAATCTGAGAAACTACAGAGATTAAGAGTAATTTCAGACCAAGCTCATTCATTATTAACCACAACAGTTTCTTAGGGATTTGTCTTCCCTTCCTTCTCCAAAGTATAAAGGGAACTTTCCTCTCTGTCTCCTGGCAAAATCTTGAGCGTAGGGATTCAGAGACCTTAGGGGAGTTTAAGAGAAATATTCCATTCACAGGAGGAGGACAAACACCAGCAGGACATCATAGGTAAGAACAAGGAAGTGGACCACATGAGGTTTTTTCCTACAAAGACTATTTTTCACACAGTTAATATTAAATTATTTTAAGAGTGAAGAATTTTAAATGTTAAATATGAAGGACATTTATATAGGTGAAAGGCAAGAGAAAACTTTTTTTTTTTTGAAACAGAGTTCACTTTGTTGCCCAGGCTAGTAGGAGTGCCAGTGCGTCAGCCTAGCTCACAGCAACCTCAAACTCTAGGCTCAAGCTATCCTACTGCCTCAGCCCCCGAGTAGCTGGACTACAGGCACGCGCCACCATGCCCGGCTAATTTTTTCTATATATATTAGTTGGCCAATTAATTTCTTTCTATTTATAGTAGAGACGGGGTCTCGCGATCTTGCTCAGGCTGGTTTCGAACTCCTGACCTCGAGCAATCCTCCCACCAGAGTGCTAGGGATTACAGGCATGAGCCACTGCGCCTGGCCAAGAGAAAACTTTTTAAATGGTAAAAGTACATTCCAATATAAGATATTATTAAGTCAGATTTTATAACGGTTTCAGAAACTTTTATTATTTATTCCTTATTGAAATAGATGAAGAACCATGTTTTTATTTCAGTGATTATGCTTATTTTTACTTTAATAGACGGCCATTTGAGCAGACAAATAAACAGGGTGAGGCTAAGTATTAGTGTAATTACCATCCAATAAGCAAAAAGAATAATAAACAGAAAGTTCTACCTATTATCGGACATAATAAAATGTTTACAATTGCATCATCACTCATGTTTGAAAGGAAAGAGACTAAATCCAATTAAGAATTTGGAGCGATTCTTTGAAATTAAAAACTTGTTTTATATTTCTTTCTACCAAAGAGTCTAAAAATAATGTGTAAATACAGGTCAAGAGAAGGAACAAGTATGATTACAAATACAAATATTAAAAGCAATAAATCTTCTATATGAAATAAGTGTGGAATCCATTTAGAGAGAGAAAATATAAATATCAAGTAATGTTGATATTCCTGCCACTGGTATAATCACAAGTTATTAAAATGTCCTTTATTTCGGGTACAACATTCACTTACAGAACATTTTAATGTCGTGCCTCAACTCTCAAGTTCGTAATTCTCCCAGACAGACATGAAATAGTTCATTTTCTATGGTGTGCCTTATTAAAAAAATGAAAATCCAGACACCAGGAATGGAAAGCATTTTGCACAAGGACAAAAGCCTGCCAGAAAGAAATGCAGTTGGCTCCAACTTTTCTCTGTTAGCAGCATTTCTCTCAAGGGTGTCACGATTAGAGTCCTGACAATGCCTTCCAGCATTTTGTGCTTTTGCAACCACGTACCAAGATACGTGAGCAACAACTGAATGTTGGGAGCCAGTTTGGCCAAGCTACGGACAGTGAGATTTTCTTTCAAAATATTTGCATCTCCTCTACTAAGTGAAAGCTTCTAATATTACCTTGACAACCCCTTAAAGGATTAGGTTTAATAGAATCCAAGAAATGCCAGCGGAGATCAGTTTCAGTTAATCCCTAATTTGTCGCCATGAAAGAAAAGAAGGCATCTTCTCTTCTCCAAGGCAGTATCGTATGGTTTCATTCACTGCTCCTGCAACAGCTTCCGCATCATCACAAGCACACCCGGTCTCGCAGGAACACTCCCCACAAACACACCGAGGGAAGCAGATGGAGTGATGGGCGATGAGCTTAAATTTGGCTTTTGCACCCAATCTTCAACTAGTCAAAAATGCACGGTACGTTTGCTATACTTAAGAGGAAACCATCCAGCTTCCAAATAAAAAAGTTGACTTTCGCCCTATCTCCTGGGCAGAGTTGGAGCTCAGGTCTGCATCAGGGTATGCAGTCAGTCAAAACTTAGGATCATTTTCTGACATGTGAGTGCATTTCCCCAGCCCATGACATGCTTGCCTTTATAGCAATTTCCCAGAATTTCTCTATTTAAAATGCAGGTAAGACAGGTGGCTTCATCCTCCACTTGTCTGATTATCTCAGAGAAATTAATTAAGTTGGCTGGGAGAAAGCCGCACGAGACCGCCTTTCTCATGAGCGTGTTTAATCAGACCCCACTACCTCTGAGTGACAAGCGGCAGCCTCTTCAATACTCAAGGGGTCCCACCTCCCTTGCTAAGCCCCGCCAGCCCAAGCAAGGCGGCAGATAGACTCACCTGCCATTCTTGGTCACGATCATTTCATTAGTGACTTCCTTGAATCGCTGCCAGAGAGGTGCATCCTCCAAGATGATCTGAAGTTGCTTCTCGGTAGGGTCGCCTTTCTCCCTCCCCGCCTGGAGCTCACTTTCCACCACGTTGAGCAGGCGAGAGACAGTGCCCTCGCTGGTGTGCTGAGAGCCCAGCTCACTCATGGCCACGGGCTCCCCTCAAACTTTGCTGGGAGCCGTTAGCTACCTTGCCTGCTCCCAGCTCCCTCCTTCCCGCACTCGCCTGCTTGTCAAACCAGCCGGACTCTGCCTCTCGAGCTGGGAGAAGATGCCCTGGCTCTTGCCTGAGCTCCTAGGATGACACCCCTTAAAGTGTCCACATTATACCACCAACCTGTTAAGCCTGAGTTGGGGAGCAGGGTGAAGGGAGGGGAGAGGTAGGGAAGAAAAAGCCCTCTCTTAATTACTCATTGGATCAGGTGGGGGAGAGCCCGGCTTTCCCATTGGCTGCCAAGCTTAGAGTAGATGTTTAAGAAGAGTACTCCATCCAAATTATCAGGCTTTTATCTTGTTGTACCTGAAGAGGTCTAATCGGTGTATTGAGGACCATTTTCCCATTAATTAAAATTATTCCAGGCCCAGACTGCAACAATCAGGCAAATCATGTTTGTGTGCAAATCAAGGCACGTGGCACCTATGGGGGAAGGGGTCCTGGGGGGAGTGGATGAACTTGATGCCCACCCCGCTACCCCGATGCCATGGATGGCCAGAGCCCCCAGCCGCTCCCGGCACCCTGCACACACGGTGGCCCTGGCGGGCAGAGCCGGTACCTGGAAGATCAAAGGCGCCGTGCCAAGAGACGCGACTACAGCGCCGCAGAATAGGGGAGGATGCTGTGTGTGCCACCGCGCCAGGGGCAGGGCTCAGGAGGCAAGGAAAGAGCTAAGGACCTCTTCCCCCCAGGGGACCCCCTCCTGTCTTCTGCATCCAACACACGCTCACACCCCACTCCTCTCAAAGGCCCTGCTCGCCTCGCACGAGCAGAAGAGCCTTAGACCTTGTCCTTCCTCCCAAGAATCCAGAGCCCCAATTTTTCTTATTTCCAGCCTTAGCCAGAGGAAGAAAAAAAAAAAAAAAGCAGTTAGTTTCAGGTTAATCTCTCCAAGGACGTACTCTGCCCCCCAGCCCCACGTCAGTGAAAATAAACTTTTTACATTATTAGGCAGAGCAATTTTGATTCTCAGTGCAAAAAGGCATTCCGGTTTTCTGTTTAGGCAGCCTGCCATGGCCTGTGGTGGTGGCATGCCAGGGCAGAACCCCAGTTCCTTGGGAAGAAATAACGAATGGACAACTTTTCTTTCTAGTACCGTGACACACGGCACTGGCGCTGGGGGACAGGAGCAGGGGCGGCTTTGCCTCCGTGCGCAACCCCCAACCCTGAGAGAGCCTGGGGGTGCGAGTTTTGCTCTCATTTCTCTATAGAAAGTAAGAAAATCAGAACAAGGAGCTAATAAGAGCAAAAAGGTAGGATAAAGTCAGGGGAAAGATGACTTAAAAAAAATGCCTATTCAGTGCCTACCAAGTGCCACCTACTTACGAGGCATCACACAGAGTCATAAACGAAGCAGAAATGGCCTGCGCCTCTGCAGGATTAACAATCCCATACCGAAAATAAGTGATATGAAGTGAACAGCTAAGTCATTATCAATGGGGCTAGTCTGGTTTGTGCGAGGCAGGGTGGGGAGAACCCCAGTCCGATGGGGCTGCACAGGAAGGCTTCTCCAAGGAGGAGACATTTCGGCTGAGACCAAAAAAGCTGGAGCAGGATATAGTCAGGGAGGGGCTGGGAGAAGGTTCCAGGCCGAGGAACCACATGTGAGCAGCGTGGCTTGGGGCCAGTGAGAGATCTCCAGGGAGGCCGGCGAGGCTAGAACGAGGTGTGACACAGTTAACCAGTGAGATGTTCTCAGAGAGCCGGCAGGGCCCGGCCACCTGGGCTCTCATAAGGTGTGATGAGGAATTTAGATTTTCTTCAACATGAGACGGGAAACTCTTGGAGAGTATTAGCGGGCAAACAGCATGACTTGATCTGTAATTGTGAAAGATCTGGCTGATTCGTAGAGAATAAACTAGAAAAAGGCAAGAGTTGAAGGGACAAATGAGGAGGTTATTATAGAGGTTCAGGTAAGAGATGGTGGTGGCTTAGCTTAGGGAGGTGCAGTGGCCACGAAGTGATGTGGATGGATTCTAGATACATCCTCGACGTGGACAGAAGAAAATGAGAGACTGGACGTGGGGGTGGGGAGAGCAGGGACCCCAGTGTCTGATGGGAACAGCTGGTAGATGGCAGGGCTGTTTACTGAGACAGGGAAGGTGAGGGAAACCAAAGGGTAGGCAGGGAAACAGTTTGGTTAGGAGACTCAAAATTGCAATTTTATATAGTTAATATTGAAAAGCAATGTGGTAGGCTGAATAATGACCCCCTCAAAAGATGTCCTAATCCCTACAACTTAGGACTGCATCACCTCACATGGCGAGAAGGAACTTTGCAGATGTGGTTAACGGTCTCAAAATGGGGAGATTATCCCGGATTATCCGAGTGGACCCGGTGTAATCACAGCGTCTTATAAAGGGTCTTTATAAGAGCGAGGCAAGAGGATCAAAGCCAAGGTGAGAAGATATAGAGGCAGAAGCAGAAGTCGGGGGGAGAGAAGATGCTAAGCTGTCACCTTTGAAGATGGAGGAAGGGCCACAAGCCAAGGAATGCAGGGAGACCCTAAACCAGGCATCCTCAAACTACGGCCCGAGGGCCACATGCGGCCCGCCAAGGACATTTATCCGGCCCGCTGGGTGTTTTTGCCGCTGCTGCCTGTCCTGCTTAGCAGCCAACTCGTCCTGGGCCCACAGTGCGCATGTGTGGAATGTGCACTGCACGCTCCAACAGCCCTCCAACGGTCTGAGGGACAGTGAACTGGCCCCCTGTTTAAAAAGTTTGAGGACCCCTGCATGCTGGAAAAGTCCAGGAAATGGATTCTGCCCTGGCACCTCCCGAAGGAACAGTCCTGTCAACACCTTGACCTTAGCCCAGTGAAACTGATTTCTGACCTCTGATCTCCAGAACTGTAAGATAATGAATTCGTGTTGTTTTAAGCCACGAAGTTTGTGGAAATCTGTTACAGCAGCCATAGGAAACTAATGCAAAGTCCATGAAATACGTAAGTGGAGATGTGAAGAAGGCACTTCTTACAGCTGTGGCACAAGTGTGGCTCTGAGCATCCGCGTGGCCGATGGAGAGGGGGAGTATAATCTGGCACACATCACACTGTGTTCCTAAAATAAAAACAAGCCGTTTGCCTGTGAGGAATTTCCCCAATAGACCTTCGTAAGGAAAACACTGTGTGATACAGTGAATATTTTCCTCCCAAACCATCCGCAAGTTCCGGTAAGACAAGGATCCCTGCCTTAAATAGTTTTATAATCTAGGAGAGAGAAAAAGACAAATGGCTCAAGGAATTTCAACACAGATATAGGAAGTGTCTCGGAAGCACTAGAAGGGGCGATAGTCCCCCCTTATCCACAAAATTTCATAAATTGTTTATTTCTGGAATTTTCCATTTAATATTTTTGGACCACAGTTAACTGCGGGCAAATGAAACCATGGAAGGTGAAACCACAGGTAAGGGGGAGATTACTGTAATACTGTTTATCTTATTAGTTATATCCAAAATAGTATGCTCCTGTTAACCAGGTTAGCACAAGTCTCTTCAACCAGTGGACCCAGGAAAAATGGCTCTTCGAGAATAGTGCATGCAATGGCTGTGTGGCAAACCCTATGACAGGGCCTTCTAGCATAAAAATGGTTCTACATTCTCTTCACTTTGAGTCTGGCCTGTCTAGACAACAACTCCACTTTCCAGCACTTTCCAGGACTTTCATACAGTTCAACCTAATAGTTGGATCTGAAACTAATATCAATAGCATAAAATCCTTTAATATATCTATATAATATTTTTTTACTTGGATGGCTGTGTTCTAATTAATAAATATCTTACTGTAGACAATTTTGAAAAATATAAAGAGGAAAAGAAATAAGGAAAAATACCCATAATCTCAACATCCAGAGATGACCTGTTCGAACACATTTGGCATATATGTTTTTTGCTATTTGCAAATATATGCACACCTTCTCATTTAAAAATGGGATTCAAAAATGCCTCTGGTTAGACAGGGCAGATTGAATGCATACTTTTACGTCTGCTCCAAAAGCCCTCTAAGATGGCACTAGGGTGGTATACAGTGTAAACCCTCAAAGCTGCACAGTGCAGAAGAGGAAGCAGCAGCAGACAAGAGACGTGAACAAAATTTTGAACAAAATAAACAAAACTGAAAAACAAATGGCTGAGTAATAACTGATGGAGAAGATTGCAGAAACCTATGCCTCAGGTGGAGAATCCAATAAGAAGCAAGAAGATTTATGCCACAGAACTCCGAAATGACTCAGGGATTGGATGCATCATTAGCTCTGAAGGCAGAGGGGGACCAAATGGAAGGTATCTTAAAATTCTATCTTTTATGTAAGAAACAGTGAACCTTTGAGATCTCCACCGTCAGCCAGGCAACTGTCCCTTCCCTATTGCAGCAGAAAACAAGAGACTGGCTTTCTGAAGAGGGTGGGCCTGAGAGGGTTTGTGCTGAGAGATACCAGTCATTGATGAGGGTAGGGGTGAGGACCATACTGAAAACAGGGGGTTAAGAGGATTATACTCCTCAGGTAAGACACTTGAGGATTCCTCAATGAACTGACCCATCCTCAATTACCAACAACCCGGTCAAGTGGGGACAGCCACATTTGCAAAGCCCTGCTGGGCACAGGGGCATTCCACTGGTGTGTCTCAGCCTTAAACATGACCATCAGACATCGGACATGGAGGTCAGAGACCAAAGCAAACAAAAAGAATTCTCAGGAAACAGAGTTCATGGAAGGAGCAGAGGATAGCAAAAGAAAACACAATTTAAAAAATTATAATGGTTATGCACTTACAGTTAAAAGAAAATATTTATGAAATAACATAAGGATATGAAAGGAAGGGAGGGAGGGAGAGAAGGGAAGAAGGACAATCATAGCAGCTTAAAACATCACACATTTATTATCTCGCAGTTTCCATATGTTAGAAGTCCAGGCACAGCGTAGCTGGGTTCCCTGCTCTGGCCGGGACTCTCACGACTGCATTGCAGGTGTCAC